GCTTTGGGTTGGTCTACCACCTCCCAACGAAAGTACATTATGGCGAGTTCCAGCAAAGGAAGAGGTCCCAGGGAGGACAGAAAAAGCGCTATAAGAACACTCTCAAAACTTCTCTCAATTCTTTCGGTATCAACACAGCAAAATGGGAGGCTGCTGCATGTGACCGTTCTGGATGGCAATCATCCCCCTTACATGGAGCATTTGGATGCCAGGCAGCATAGGTTGGACAGGCAGAGAAACGGGGGCAGGCTAGAAAGAATCGTTATCTCTAATCTCACACTCACAGTGGCTTCCACCTGCTATCTGCACTGCTCAAGAACTTTCCATGTTGAACTTACCAGCCACCCTCGTACTCATAATCATTGATCATTACTACTTTGGATGAAAAGTGGTCTTCATCACTCTTGATGGATGAACATCAACAACAGACAGGAACGTATCACATTGTACCACTGCTGTATTTAGGAATATTACGTAGTGAGACACCGGTATCTTCTAAGGAGTGACTCTCGTACCACCGTGCGAACACGACAAGATTTTTCTTTTAAAAAATGAGCCATTCGCCGCGGCAATCGAATCCTGACACGTCGATTGGGAAACGTGTTGACCAAACTCTAAACTACAGATGACAAAATCTGCTGCCTAGGAAATCGAAAATTTTTAGCCACACTGAACATCATCATCATCATCATCATCATCATCATCATCATCATCACCATCTTCACATTTCGCTTATACCATTAAAGCTTTTCATTCTTTGTTGTGCAATCTTATCCCTGTCATGGCTGGACTCTAGTTCAGCGCCTTTGGCTTCTTTCATCAACGTTCGTTTTAGGATTTTCTTTGGACGTCTTAGGTTCCACAGTCTCTTTATTTCCCATTTTAATACCTGTTTGGAAATTCTTTGCTCGTTTCTTTTCAGGGTGTGTCCAGTAGGGCACTCTCTTCTTTCTGCTGAATATCAGTATTTTTTGTTTCAAAGGTAGCAGCTGCTGCCGTTACGGTATTGAACATCTCTGTAGTTTTTTTTTTAAAAATGGGAGAATTCCAAACATGTCCTTAGAATATAAATATCCTCTTACTGAATACTAAACTTATAACATACAATAAGCCCAGCGCTCCGGTGTAGTTGATAGCGCGTTGGACGTCATGTGACAATCCCCATGCGTGTCGGGTCTCGGGCTCAAGTCGAAGAACGCCAGGAAAAGTCGCATACGCCCCCATTTAACTGTTTAATCAAGTAACAGAAAGTGTATTGATCGGCACTCATAGAAAGAAGTAGAAAGATAGAAAAACACACTAGACAACATAAAAATCGAAAGCTTTAGTTACCGTGCTGGGAATTGAACCTGTCACCTCCAGAGAGCGTCTGCGCCTCGCCATGGACACAAGTGCACTAAGAACATGGTCAACTAGGCACCCCCATAAAAGGTGTCTTATTGGCCATGTCTATCGTACAACTTGAAATCCACAACTATGGGATATGGACATAATTCATTTCAAACCATTGAAATGGCACCATAGGTTACAGAAATTTATATTAACGAAGCATATATCGAATAACAATCACAGCAACAATTTACGAACACAGTAAACCCTATTGCTTTGTCTAGAATACACAAACATTGAAGAAAGGTATTTGATTGGTAGGTTCCGGTGTGTATACGGCCTCAAAGGTTTCCCCAGTTTAACGGTGTACCGAGGTTGAATGACTTCGATGCTCACGACCCTGAGCCAAAGGAGCTATGCTCAAGTGCTTCTAGTTCGGGGGAAAATAACGTAACATACAATCAATTTTCAATCCCCTTATTTACTGTTTTCGTACAGATACGCAGCAAATGTGGCTTTCCTAGCTCTGGTTGCTGCAGAAGCTGGGCTCAATACCGCCCAGTACCGGAAGTGGGGTGTTGAGCAGATCAACTACATCCTTGGAGACAACAAGCATAATGGCGGCTGTTTCAGTTTTGAGATTGGACACGGGAAGCAGTATCCACAGCAACCACACCACAGGGGCGCTTCCTGTCCTAACTTGTAATGTGGCATTATAACACTTTTTAAAATTTATTAAATTATTTACTTAATGCTTTTCTTTATTCTACACCAGTGTTAATATAATAAATCTAATCATTTATAAATTTTTTTTAATGACTACTTTCAGATGTTTAATACTTGTGTGTTATTTAATACTTTTGATTATTAAATACCTTATTATTTTGATACTTTTTTTTATTGAATATTTTTTAATAATTTAACATCTTTGGTTAATTATTTTTTTTTTTTTTTTTTTTCTTAATTTTTTTTTAAGTTTTTTTTTTTTTTTTTTTTTTTTTTTAATTTAACGTAAATTTTAACTTTTTTTATTTTGTTCTTTCGGTTATTTAACACATTTGTTTATTGAATGCGTTGTCGATTTAATACTTTGAATTTTTGTTTTTGTTTTTAAATACTTTGTGAATTTAACTGTTGTATTTTGCTACATTTTTATTTACTACAAATTTAAATTAATGTTGTTTTTTTTTTTTTTTTCCAGTACTTTGTTTTTTAATACTTTGTTCAATACTCTCTAGTTTTTTTTATTTTTTTTATTTTTTAGCATCTTTTTTTTTTAGTTATCATTGTTCCTTTTTATAATTTTGCTTATTTGTTACCTTTGTTGTTGTTTTCATTACTTTCATTTATATAATCCATTTGTTTTTATAATAGTTTGTTAGTTTAATACCTTTATTCATTTTGTACTTTTGTTTGTGTGGTACTTTTCTTTAGTGACACTTTTGTTTATTTACAACCAGTGATTTTTTTTTAAATTAAACATGCCTTTATTTGGTCTTCTTATTTTTTATTGTCTCACTAGTACCAAATTGTAGCCCAGTGTCGTGGTTTTGTGGTCTCTCTGATACCAGGTTGTAGCCCAGTGTCGTTGTTTTGTCGTCTCACTGATACCAGGTTGTAGCCCCGTCTCGTGGTTTTGCCCTTTCACTGATACCAGGTTTTAGCCCAGTGTCATGGTTTTGTCGTCTCACTGATACCATTTTATAGCCAAGTGTCGTGGTTTTGTCGTCTCACTGTTACCAGGTTATAGCCCAGTGTCGTGGTTTCGTTGTCTCACTGTTACCAGGCTGTAGCCCAGAGTCGTGGTTTTGTCGTCTCACTGTTACCAGGTTATAGCCCAGAGTCGTGGTTTTGTCGTCTCACTGTTACCAGGTTATAGCCCAGTGTCGTGGTTTTGTCGTCTCACTGTTACCAGGTTATAGCCCAGCGTCGTGGTTTTGTTGCCTCACTGTTACCAGGTTATAGCCCAGTGTCGTGGTTTTGTCGTCTCACTGTTACCAGGCTATAGCCCAGCGTCGAGGTTTTGTTGCCTCACTGTTACCAGGTTATAGCCCAGCGTCGTGGTTTTGTTGCCTCACTGTTACCAGGTTATATCCCAGCGTCGTGGTTTTCTGTATTCTTGTGTGGCTTTGGTGATGGATTTGTTTATCTCTTTTGCAAGTTCCAGCTACACCATTTATCC